CTTTTCGCAGTGTCCCGCATGAGATTTGAAAGCTTTTTAACTTACAGCGAACGTTTTCCACTTATTCCACTGTGCGCTGAAATTGTATGGCAGTTGAAAATTTGAGATTAGTTTTCTCGTCTCGGATAAGTTATTTTTAAAAAGCAAAAAATCCCAAGAAACCTTTTGAATTTCTCATGTGAGTCACGCTTTCCTCCGAAAGAAATTTTCTTCAGCGAATTTTACTTCATGCTAGTTTTCTCCTCATGCAGGGACCAATTGTATTTCACATTATTCAAAATATGAGCTAAAATTATTTTCCTTCTTTTTGTAGAACGTAGATCACGGAAGATTATTTTTTAAATGTCAAAACCTATTAATTTTCAATTCTTCGGGCGAAAAAAAGCACTTGACTATCAAAAACGTGTCTTTCGCACAAAACATTATCCCAAAACCTCCCACCACACAAAAAGTACACGGCATTGTACTCAACGTAAACAATCGTGTCCAAACGATAACACTTGAGGTCAGCCAAAAGAAGAAAAAAAAACAGATTCTATTGTTCTGAAACAATAGTCGCTCAGCACCGAAAACAAAACACGAAAAAAGACAAGAATTTTCGCCGTTGCTGAAAAACAGGCTTGCACGAAAATATTACGAAACAATCAAATCAAGAATGACGAAAAAGTCGATGAAACAATTTTTTCCGTTTAATAAGAACCCCCACCCTCCAAAGATTGACACGAATGAGATTCGCATGAACGATGAACCCATTCCCCGGAGTCAACGGCCCAAGCGAGCCGATTCGAAACGGCGGATACAAACGTGAACTTCACTAATCCGCTTCCACGCTTAAGAAAAACGAACAAGTTCCCTTTCTCGTCGACTCGCGAACCGGAGGGAAGTACTTCCGAACCAAGAGAGAGAGAGAGAGAGATGCAGAAATGTGGAAAAAGTACTATTTAAAATAAGTACGCAGCTGAACGCCAGTTCCATAGACGTCGCGTCTCCGCATTTTGCACGAACACACGAAGGGAATGTACGTCGCTCTTCTTCCATCCTGACTAAATTGAATTTCTGGGACGGAAATTCTTCCCGATACACGCGGGGAAAATATCCCATCGATTAGAGGCCTCATTTTTCCTTCTGAGAATAAAAAAAAAGGGCCATAAACACTAGACTGCGACCAAAATCCGAATAGTGAGCAACAACCGAGCTGCTCTTGTGTAATTCTAGTCAAGATACAGTATTATTGTCCTGCGAAGTCAGATTGGGTCAAGCGATAATACTGTAGCTCAAAATTTCAAACCGAGGGTAGATTGTTAACATGATTTTTTTCCCCCATGATTTTTCGGTAATTATTATTTGTCTTACGATTACGTCATCCTCTCCCTCCAAAGTTTATTCTGAGTTCCATACCTTTTGCATCATATTCGTACCTTTCGCCATCGTGAAAAGTGCTCTCATACATTTTAAAATAACCATACCGTTTGCTCCACGCGTATGCCCGAAAGAAGAAAAAAAATCCGGAACTCGCCCTGCAAAAAATTTTCCGTTTTCGGCGAGTATAAGCGAGTCATGATTTTGCACAACAATTTTAGGGGATCGTATAGTACTGTACACGTTACATGCTCAAGATATCAGTGATGAAATCTTTCTACAAAGAACTCCCAGGGACCTGTGAAATAATACGTTTATTAGCGAAAAATTCTTCCAAATCAGTTTCATGGTTCTTGGAGCTTTAAGGACTGAAATTTTGTACGTGATACGTAATAATCGCTTTAAAGCGATTCCAGGACAGATACTTGAAGAACTCGTAACATTTTCAACTCTTGGTGATATAATAATCAAGAACATTTGAAAAAGTGAAGTACGATTATCTCATAGGGGAAACCGTTTAGGCCGAGGCAAGAAAAGATCACAACACGAATACTAATTAGCGAAGCAGCATGGAAATAATGCTTTAAAACCATGTACTCTCAGCTTCACAAGTCAAAGTAGTATTATCGCTTGACCCTATCTTTATCCTCGAGGCGATAATGACGAAGCAGAAAAATGCTCGGAGCTTCATGAATTGCAAACGGTAATTACTTTAACACTATACTGCACATAAAGCACTAATACGCAACTGAATAGTATCTAGAGGCAAATAACGAGCTAATTGTAAGAAGACATAAACTTGTTCTGCACCTATTAAAAATTGAACCGCTTTTAATGAACCCGATCTAATGCGTATCAGTCTCAAGGATAATTAATTTGTAAGGTACAAGCGGGTTACTTACACCATCGTCAAGTTGGCAGACGTGTGTATACAGTACCGTACTCCGAGAATTCAAATACAGTAGAGTAGAGTACTAATGACACCTTTCTGAATTAAACGGTTCTTTGGACGCGGCGGATGTGACGGAAATTTGCTCAATTGTTTAAATCAAGCCACACGGTTATCTTCGCAAATTATCAACACAAAGCTTCGCAACCAGCACATAAGCTAACATCGAGCTAAGCTTACTAAACATATTCTCTCAAAGAAAACCGACATGACGATTTGAAAGTAGGCTACAAGTACTGTACTGCATTACCTTTACCATATTTAACTTCCAGTTTACAGTAATCAACAATCTTTTTCTGGATTGTTCACGAATTTACCTCGACGTTAATGACTTCACTTTTCGCCCAAGCAGCATCGCTTTACTTTCCGTTGCCGTTTTTTTTTTCTGCCGTAGTTGACTCGCCTCATTTCAAATTGCGCGGGTCAGCCGATTGAGACGAGCCAATTATTTGCAATTGCTTGAAGCCGTAAAAGATATCAAGCGCTATCACTAACCATCAGCAAAAAATAAATATAAAAATAAAGATAAGAACTAGAATAAGCCCTCGATTAAAGGCCAAACATACGAATCCTGACATGATTCTACAAGCTAAACCTCGCGGGACCGTCTCTAGAAGACTGTGAAATTATCCCAAGGAACCACAGTCACAACTCAACCAGCCATGTTGAAGGCGCGTACGTGGATTATTATCATTAGCAAAATTGACTGAAGCAACAATAACAAAAGACGTTCCCGCAGCAAGGATTCGAGTTCTCGATTATTTTATCTAATTTTTTGTATATGTTCGATCATATCACGCAACGCGAGGAAAAATTATACCCCCAACATCACATCTTGTTCTCAAGGAAATCATTATAGCACGGGGCTCTCTCCAACATTTCTATGAATTGTACAATTTTGAAGATGGGCTGATGTTAGGTACCATCTGGTCAAGCACCATCTTTGAGCGGTCTTCGCTCGTTTGAAGATCGAACTCTCAATAAACGAACAAGCCCATTAAGTGGATTCAACTCATAATTTAACCTTGAAGGCTTAAACAACCCGAATTCTTTGTGTTTAAAATGGTGAATTTTCACCTGGTTCTAACTTGGGCCACGAACACATAAAGTCCACATGTTCACACAATTTTCTCAATTATTATTATTTTTTAAATAAAATTCCACGTTCGAACCCTAAAAGAGCGCAGATACTGTACAACGAACCAAAAGAAATACTGACCTTTCATGGAAGAAAGAACCGGATGAATGGCAGCGTGGATCTTGGACGCCGCCAAAACGGGGTTCTCAAACTCTGCCAGGGACCGCGGCGCGTCGTCGGGTCGCCGATGCGGCGGCACTCGCACGATCCGCCGCCTCTGAAACAGTTTGCTCAGGGGCACGCATCGACTGCTCGTTTCCGGCGGCCGACGGTCTTCCTCGCTGGCCGCCGGCGACGGGATCCCAGCCAGGTCTTCCAGGGCGGCGCACGGCGACACCACGGAACCTAGGCCGCTCTCTGTCGGCTCGCCCATCAAGTACCCGTTCTTCCGGTAGCTCCCGTCCAGTCCGGGCGCAAGGAAATTCGCGTAGTCCGTCTCCAACACGCATCCTTTCTTCAATCGCAGGGTTCTGCAAATGGAAATGAAATGAACGAAAATCTTGATTAATTGATCGGAATACGTCTGCAGATATTTGCGTAAACTTGAACCTAGAAAAATTAAACCTTTCCAAGTGAAATACCTCCCCATGACAATATTTTTTTACAAGTTCACGGACTGATTTCCCTCGAAAACAATGTATTAAAACCCTTCATCCTAACTCAAATTTTCTTGAGGCCTTCTTTCTGCGACATTACTCACACAGGAAAGAGAAAAACACACAAAAATTCAGCTCAGTGTGTTCTGAAAGAAATTGAACGACTAGATTGGGGAAATTAACCCCTTCCCCCCATGTTCAGCATCCTGTCAACTCAATTCAAGACGCCACTCAAGGCCCAGAAAATCGCCGATTACAATTTCCTACAATTCTTCATTCCTCCAGTTAATCAACTTCGTAATATCTTGATTACAGCGAAGAAGCTGGGCTTGTCTCAGATCTCCAGATTTCACGTCGAAATGATAGAATAACCATCAAGATACATCAGCACAATTTTCCATAAAGCTGACTTGGAAGTTGGAACGCCGATTAGAGTCGAAACGGACTGACCTCGAAGATTCAACATCAAAAATATAATTACTGTGCATTCAAATCGAAATGAAAATGAAATCAATCATTGTGAAATTGACGAGAAAATGCTCCGGGAAGAGATTTTATGGGCAATTACCGAGCCCACGGGGTCCACAAATTTGCACAAAATGAGAAAATCCCCTTCCCTCGAGCAAATTGATGCAAAACTCGGATCAAGGCTGCATTTGATCAAACTCACTTCGTATAAAACTTCAGAATTTCAAACCAAAATGGCCTTCGACACAAGAACCACGACAACGCACTGCGTTGTAAAAGGACAATCATTGAAACCAATTGGGTTCGTTTAAAAATAGGATTTTAGATGACGTTTGCAGAAAACCTTGCCTACAAATACCGAAAAATCAGTGCCGTATACATGAACTTCCTTAAAATTGAAAACAAAAACTCTGATCGAAGCAGCAACTGACGAATCTCGCAAAATTCGTGAAGTATCTGTTCCCTCGTCAAAACACACCACTGATAGATGCAGCTCATTCTTAAAATAGTCCAGAATTCGCAAGAAACGCCCATTCACCTCGTAGCATAAAATTAATTTGACCTAAATGCCTCTCATCAACGCTTTTCGCGATAAGATAAACTACCACACAGGTATCATAAAAACGGGAAACGAGCTCTTCGAAGGCCAACCAACCGCAAAAAAAAATATTTATTTCTCATAATTACCGGATCAAGAGCACTAGAAAATTAGCCTTTCCACAATGAAAAAAATTGGCGGCAATCGAGCATGAACATTTTTCTTCAGACTTCTCAAGAATTCCATTCTTTTCATACTGCACCAGTCATCGACGTTCAATTCCGATCGTTCCCACGAACAAAGAAAATGAATGCGGTCATACCATGAAACGGTGCATTGTCCGAATCTCCAGCGAACTTGTTCACTGACAATCGGATCAAAAGCACCTTCATAATTCGAACAAGAAGACGTGTATCGTACGTATCATGCATTTTGAGAACAAACGGACGACCTGTCAATGAAATGGATCATTCGGAAGTTGGCAAAAGATCCGCAATAATTGGGGTATTCTATCAAATAGCAAGATTGCACACGATAATCGAGTTCGGTCTAAGGATTCATTCGGAAAAAGTTCAGATGCGCCAAAAATCCGCCCCTT